GTGGAGCATAAACTAGCTCCCACCCATTGCTAGTGGTAGGGATATCTTGCTCAAAGCAAACAGGGCAAGCCCATTTTGGCTCAGTTATACTAGTAAGTACGCTATCAGTAAAGTCTTATGCAGAGTTATTCTAGTCCAAGCTAGGAATTCCACAAATTTTGTACTGAACCTGTTCAGTAGTCAGACCTACCATATTCAAGCATGATGATCAGATGTGAGCTGATCAACCAGTTGGTTTGGTTGGTATCAAACACTTGAACGACTGCCAAACAGGTTTGCATTGGGTATTTTCAATACTGCATGTTTGCAAAATGGTGCCAGTCCAGGCAGGCTGGCAGCTGTTAACATCTCTAGAGACCACTTAAATGAACACCAAAGGGTAGGATTTTTTTAACGCAGCATTTATTTATGACTGCATTAATTGGGTTGTAGAACCAAGTTTGAGTCCAGTGGCACCTAAGACCAACAAAGTTTAATTTTGGGTATAAGCTTTCATGTGCAAGCACACTTCATCAGATTCAGTGTGCGTGCTCATGAAAGCTTACGCCCAAAATTAAACTTTGTTGATCTTAAAGGTGTCAACTAGACTCAAACTTTGTTCTGTTGCTTCAGACCAACACGGCTACCCACCTGAATTTTTTTGGGTTGTAACGGTTTTAACCATCTATGGCTGTATCCAAGCAAGTAGCCACCGTTTTCTCTTCGTGTTTTCCTTGTGGCGCCATTTTCATTAGAAAAAGAGACAAGTCTCTACACTTTCATTGCCAGGTTATAAGGAGAAAGGTGCAGGCAGGACATCTCCCCTTATACCTTTAAAATGAACAGGGTTAGAGATTTAGCTTTTAAATAAAATTAAAGTCGGGACTCTAGAGACCATAGCCTTAAATCATTAGAACACTAGTGTGAAATTACACAATAGCCATTACTGATTTAAATGGCGACCACATCTACATGAAAAGCCTGTTGCACTGTACTGCACCGATAGGAAGACAGTGAAGCAACTCATCCGATACCTTCTCATGGGTCAATGAACAGTCCATCCCAAAATCAGTTCCCTGTTTGCATCCCTAGTCCAAGCTCATCAAAATCCCTAGAGTAACTCTGCATAGGACTACACTGTCAGTGAGCTGTCTGGAAGTTGTACCAACACTGCTGGCTCTGCGGCAAAGAGAAGGCCTGAAAAACTTATTATTCTATTATTAGCAAACAGCTATCTTTAAAACATAAATAGTGCTTTGGTTTTTAAAATCAGTCCTTAGTCCAAATGTTTCTTACTTATTAGGAGAATCATGAGCATCTTCCTGACCTGTCCATAGCATGAATCTGTGTATGTTTTAACTGAGCTGTGGTGAGGCGCAGCATTCCCTTGCTTTGCTGAGTTCTGAAAATAGCAGTACGCAGCCATGAATTAAAAGACGCCTGCTCCTTGTGAGGAAAGCGATGGCGAACCTAAACAGCATGATAAAAAGTAGAGACATCTCCCTGCCAACAAAAGTCCGCATGGTCAAAGCAATGGTATTCCCAGTAGTCATGTATGGCTGCGAGAGTTGGACTATAAGAAAGGCCGAGCGCCGAAGAATAGATTCTTTTGAACTATGGTGCTGGAGAAGACTCTTGAGAGTCCCTTGAACTGCAAGAAGATCAAATCAGTCAATCCTAAGAGAAATCAACCCTGACTGTTCCCTGGAAGGCCAGATAATGAAACTGAAGCTCAAATACTTTGGCCACCAAATGAGAAGGGAGCACTCACTGGAGAAGACCCTGATGCTGTGAAAGATTGAAGGTCAAAGGAGACGGGGACGGCAAAGGATGAGATGGTTAGACAGCGTCATAGATGCAACGAACATAAAATTGAGCGAACTTCAGAGGACAGCAGAAGACAGGAGGGCCTGGCGTGACCTGGTCCATGGGGTCGCGAAGAGTCGGACTCGACTGTGCGACTGAACAACAACAACATTTGTCTCTTGATTGACAGTGGAAGTTAGGGCCAAAAATTGAACATTTCTGTTGCTAATAATCATACATTGGTAATATCCTCAGTACTCCACAGCCTTTTGTTGTTTGTTTGACCTAATAGAGTTTATGTTATTCTCATCTTGCTGATGAGACTCAGTGACAGCAGAAGTAGACTTTGAACCCAGGACTCCCAAGTTTGCATTCTGGACTGCATGCTCTAATAATATCATTTGTTGCGATTTAGATAGGTGCTTTGCACAATGTGAAGTTCTGTGTATGAATTAACATATTGCACATGTGTAGGTTGCAGTTAGTGATGGAGGCAGAGTCTGAAATGGAGGACACTGAATGTTTTGGTATAATCTTCTGGATACCTTTGAAATCATAATGAGAGATCCCTAACTTCCATGTCAGTCCCAAATGGATCCCCTTTGGCTCTCTAGCATACCCCTAGCATCTTCCTTGCTGCCTTTAGCTTTTCTAAACTTTCTAAAGGTCTGTGATTACCGTGCTGAAACTGGCTCAGACAAAAGATCCAACACAAATCAGGTCTCAGAAAACGCAGAGCAACACTGTGATGAAACTGGTTTGGTGACGGAATCATGACAAACATATGTGGAATAAAAATTTAAGTGTGGGGAAAATGTGGAGTGAAGGTGGAGAGTGATGTGGAACGCAAATTCTCGAAGTGCTCCAAATGCAGGGCAAAATACCAATGCAAAAAAGGCAGGTGAGCAGCAATGTTAGGGAGTGTTCCAAGCAGCATTCCTCACCTTCAAGAAGTTTGGGAAAGAAAGGGGAGCAGCAAGGAGGATTTTAAAGGAGTCAAGAGTGCCAAAGAGATGATCCTTAGAGCCCTTCTCTTCCCATTTTCTTTCAGAAGTAACGTAAAAGTAGACTTTATAAGTATAAGAAAAGGAAGGGCACAACTGGAAGTTCTCTTAGCCAGGGACCACCAGGGCGTGACTCTAGACCCAGTTGCACTTGTGATTATACCCACACTCTCACAGCAAGGTTGACCCAGAATGGGTCCAGTTCTAAACAGAATTAATTTAGGGTGTCTAGAAGGTTCCTTCCTAATTAATTCAATTTAAACGGCTCCGTGCCAAAATGGATAAGGTTAGGTCCACCCATCGCTAATTACAGTGTGTGGTAATCCTATCGGTATGTTAATAGTTGCCAATAGCAGCTTTGCCTTATGTTTTCTGTAATTTCTACAGCACATGCATACAGTGATTTGTGTGCTTGTGCACACACACACACAGGATGATCATATCTATCCTCATGCCTGTAATGTGTGTATTACTCTGAAGCTATTGATTTTTATTATTTTTTTTACATTGAACTGTTTTGTATGCAGGAGTTTTATAACAGAGTAAGGCGGCCCCATACTGGTGGAATGAGCTCCCGGAGGAGATCAGGGCCCTGCGGGATCTCTTGCAGTTCTGCAGGGCCTGCAAGACGGAGCTCTTCCGCCAGGCTTTCAACTAGGGAGCCGCCACCATTATAGAGACCTGGCCCTTGGTTTTGACATCTAGCCTGTGCTTCAGGAAGATCATAAGCAGAATGACTGTTCGACGTCTGTACATTCTTAAAGTAAGCCATCTCAAACAAACAACTAAGTAACCATTACCAGCACTTTATGAACTTGAATTGTTTTAGATGATTTTATGTTGTTTTAACTGTTATTTATATATTGACTGTGAGCCGCCCTGAGCTTGCTTTGTGGGGAGGGCGGGGTACAAATTAGATTAATAAATAAATAAATAATAAATTTGTGAATTCAGGGCATCTGTTTGCCTGGTACAGAATCTTCTGGGGTTTTGGCACTAGAATGATTTTTTCCCCCCAGGCATTTTATTGGTTTATTTATTTTATTTTAAATATATGTTTAAATATATCCCTTACCCCCAAGCATTGTTAGTCCCATGTGATATTCATGAGTAACTGTACATCGCTCAGAGCCGGCAGCTCTGCATGGATTGAGCGATTAATAAATGGAAAGATTATTATTATTATTATGTATAATGGTCTTTTTGCATGGCATCTTAGAACTCAGGTTGGGTAGCAAAAATGTAAAAATATAAAACAAATTGATAAAATAAACATTGCACATAAATACCATGATGTTGGCCATATAAATCTTGTTGTGCCAAACAAAGGGGCAGCTATTAGTCTGTAGTTTTATCCCTGCTAATGGTGGCCCTTTGAATTAATGACCTCCAAAACATCCTGTAATTAACAGCTGTGCAAACTGAGAGCCATGGCCTCCTTTATTGAGTCAGTCCGTCTCATATTGGGACTTTCTGTTTTCCTGCTGCCTTCAACACTTCCTAGCATTATTGTCTTCTCCAGTGAGTCTTTTGTCTTCTCATAATGTGACCAAAATATGATAGCCTCAGTTTGATCATTTTGGTTTCTAAGGGAGAGTTCACGCTTGATTTGATCTGGAACTCACTGAGGAATAATGCACCTTTCTGGGAAGAATAGAGCTGCCACATGGCAACATTCAGGGAGTGGTGGTCCTTCAAGTATGGGGTGGTTTATTTGTTTGTTTTTCCACATTGTGGCTGTGGTCCCCTTTTTGATACCATTAATTTGATCTGACTGAGACCCCTAGGTGTATACCCACTTAGTATTTTGATGCTTGCTTTTTCTTTTTTTAAAATACTTTTTGATGCTTGCTTTTTCTTTTATACTGTTTTGCTGGTTTAAGATATTTTATTTCTTATGCTACTGTAGGTGCTGATTTTTAAGGTATTTTCTGCCATTATTTGGTAGTTGATATTGTACGGTTTGCTAGTATTTATGATTTTGAATGGCCATTGTCCTTTTAAAAATTGTTTTATCTTGTTTTTTTTAATGGTTTTACCATAAACTGCCTTAAAAGATACTGAGAATATGGGGTGTATACATACCAATATTATCACTGTTGTTGTTGTTGTTGGTTACTGCAGGAAATCTGTATTGTGGATGAAGTCCTAATGTTTACACTGGCAGGGTTCCATCCTTTTTTCCCTCTACTCTTTTATCTAATTAGTAGGATGTCCAAGTAGGTCTCTCACCCACTTTAAAGCCTTTTAAAAACAAGCTGTTTTGCTATTAACCAATTTATCGCTAGTACTGTGCAAAATAAAAAAGCGGCGCAAATGAAAGCCACACAAAATGCCTCTCATGTAAATGAGTATTACCATTTGTTGACTCAGATAAATGATTTGGCACATGTCCTGAAAGGCTGAGAGCCATATATGTTAGCAAGTTCTTGCTACTTTTGACTAACTTGACATTCTTAATTCGTCTCATGCTATATTGTAACATCTTGTATTGTGACTAAGGGATGTAATTAACTTTAGTCAACCTGTATTGGAAGAAATGCTATGAAAGATTTAAAATGAAGAGCTAAAAACAGTTATTACTTCAAACAACATGACTGATATATTAATGGGTTGGATCCAAAAGTGACCTTCTGTTCAGTGATGATTCCTTCCGGAGAGGAATGGAAAACTTCCAGGAGTGGAAGGGCACCTTTGCATTCAACCCTATGGTTTGAATTCAGACCACTTTATTTCAAGTATTTACATAGGGTCAGCAAACTCCAGGTGAGGCCTGCGGTTCTCCCAGAATTACAACTGATTTCCAGATGACAGAAATCGGTTCCCTTGGAGAAAATGGCAGCTTTGGAATGTGGATTTCTCCTTCCCGAATTCCACCCTCCCCAGGCTCCACCCCCAAATGTCCATGAATTTTCCAACCCTGAGTTGGCAAGCTTATACCTATGTTATTCCTTTCTTAATCAAATCAGGGAGTAAGTTGTGTACAGGTTTTCAATAAATGTACATAGAACATAAATCATTAAAACAATAATAGATAATGCAGTCTAACCTTGGAAGAGAACCAAATAAATAATGTTAGTTGGGGAAGCCAAAAGCTTTTCCAAACTAATATGTCTATCAGGTGAACAGTTTTCCTGGGAAGGGTTTTCCAATTAATTGGACCCAGAATTGTGAGTTCTTGTTACTCCTTAAGTTTTTAAATTTCTGCTCTTGAGATCAATGGGACTTAATGAAGTGCTTAATTTTGCTGGATTGTATCCAGTTTCTTTTGCGTATGCAATACATATAAATCTGTTATCACTTGCATCTCTTTGCTTGCATCTCTTTGCTTGTATCAAGTCATATACACAGTTCGGTTCAAGGGGCTATTGGTGCTGAAGCATTTTCAGCCTAAGATAACTTTTATTAAAATATGGTTTTTTTAAAAAAAACCCACAACCCTGTATTTTAATACAGCAGTTAAAGAGATGGCACTGCAAACCTACATAGAGTTATACACTTCTGAGTCCTTTGAACTCAGTGGTGCTAGAAGGGTGTAGCTCCCCTTAGGATTCCACTATAAATTAACCTTTTAAACATTGGTTTTAACTGATGAATGTGTAAGTTATTTTTTAGTTCATTAGAAGAAAGTGTCACCTGCCTTTTCCCATGCTAACTATAAAAACATATAGAATGAGGAAGGGGAGCTGATTGGATGCCAGTAGTGTGGAAAACGTCATGTCACATGAGGGCCCAGTACAAGAGTCCATTTTGCAAGAGGATCAACAACAATGATCAAGAATGTTAGCCCAGGCAAGCCCGATCTTTTCAGACCTCGGAAGCTAAGCAGGGCCGACCCTGGCAAATACTTGGAGGAATACCAGGGCCAGGTCGCAGAGGCAGGTTATCAAGCCACCTCATAGCCCAACTAGGGGTTGCCAGAAGTCACCATGACTTCCAGGCTTGCAAGCGCGTGCACGCACACACACACAAATACTCCCCCCAAAAAAAAGAGAGGGAGAGAAAGAATGATCAAGGGGTTAGAGTGCCTTTCCTTTCAGGAAAGGCTAAATATTTATTATTTTCCAGTTTTTAAAAGGAGAATAGATAAAGGTTTGTAAAATTATGCTAGGTGTGGACGAAGTGATAAGAACGTAAGAAGAGTCATGCTGGATCAGACCAAAGGCCCATCTGGTCCAGCAGTCTGTTTCCATAGTTGCCAGCCAGCTACCTCTAGGATGCCTTCAAACACGAAGACTGCTGCAGCATTGACGGAGAGAACTCTTTCTCCCTCTCCCATAATATTAGAACTCAGGGACACCCAATTAAGCTGATGGGCAGTAGATTCAGGATAGACAAGAGAAATTGCATCTTTATACAATGCATAGTCGATGTGTGGGACTTACTGTCACAGGTTGTAGCAATGGCTTGTAGTTTAAAGGTGGGCTTTACAAATTTATGGGAGTTAAGGACCAACAGTGTTTTAGCAGTGATGGCTAAAGAGCCATGTTTGGAGGCTGTGTACCTCTGAATAGTAGCATGGGGGGGATCATCAGAAGGGGAATGCTTTGTCCTCTGTGTCCTGTTTATAGGTCTTTCAGGAGCATCTGGTTTAGCTACCATGAGAAACTGGTTGCTGGACTAGATGGAAAATTGGCTTGATGTGGCAGGTCTCTTTTTTGAGGTAGGCAGGGATAGTTCAGCAAAGAATCTGTGGTTCTTGCTGGACTCATATATCCCTGTCTTTCCTATTTCCATTATTCTTGCAGTGGCAAAAATCAACAGCTGACCTCAATAATGAGGGGTCCAGTTTCACAGCCCTCTGAGTAAGATGCCCCTAAATATCCTCTCTGCATAGTGGGCTTAGGCTCAAAAATGGCTGGTGGTTTTCTGGAGTGGCGAGTAATCCAAACTATTCAAACCTAACCAATGAAATATGCAATGTTAACCAAAATCATTAACTCACAAGAAGGTGGAAAACAGGGAACCCGCTAAACTGAGGGTTAGAAAAGCCAACAAAGCAAGAAACCCCCCCCCCCAATTAAAAACAGGAGATAAAGTCTTCAGAAGCACAAAAAAGGAAAGGCAAAAAACCCCCAAATATTACATCCAAAACAATAATGAAAATAATACCTCTCCCCTACTTCCCCCTTCCAGCCAATTCATGACGTTAAGGTAGTCAGAAGTTGTTCCGGGAAGCCTTTGACTCCCTACCCGATCAGATGCCGCATAAGGTGGATGATTTGGCAATATCAGACTGTACACCCATACACCCATTAAGCTAGGATTTCCACATATGTTCATCATGTACTACCATAGCAAAGAGTAACTGGTAAATACCAACTTCAAACCATGGTATCAAATTCTAATGACTTCACTAAACCATTGTTTAATTAAACTATGGTTTAATGTGATATATGAACTGAGGGCCTAATTGCTTATGCTTTACATGCATCTTCCCTGAGTCCTGGAGATCAGACAAGTGTTCTAAGTTCTGTTCCTAAATGCTTGGAGTTCCTAAATGCTTGGAGGCCGACTTTGAATGGGATGACAGTGCAAAGGTATAGGGGTTTAAACGTTTCCTGTGTGCCATTTTATTGACTTGAAATGGCCGATTATTATTGAAAAGGTATGTAACCTTTCCCAGTGGGTAAATAGTACCCCCTGGAACCATTTCAGGTAGAAAAAATGATTATGGGGGAAGGCTTTAGGCCCCCTTTCCCTATGCCCCATGGTTCTGATCCAGTTGGACCCTTGCTTGGCTGGGAATTGAGTTCTGAGCATAAAATTTGCAACATATGGCTGATTACCAGGAAATCATAATGTAATTAAACTGTGTGTAGAGACTCTTCAAAGAGCAACCTTTGGTTAATTCTCTGTATGAACACTACGTGCATAACCTTAGTTTCCTTCTGAAAACACATAAAGAGGTTTTCCAAAAGTTGTTTCCACACACACACACCGGTCCTATTTTGGTCTCTGTTTCTCTCTCTCTTTCTACTTTGCCTGACTGCATTTGTTAAAGTAACTTCAGGCCCTCTTTTAGATTTCAGAAAATAGGCCCAGGTTGAAATCTTCAGATTCAACGATTGGTGCCAGAGATAAATGCTAAACTTGATTTTCTTCTTCTAGGATTCATTTCTCCCTCATCTATATTTTCATGCTGTTAACAAGGCATACTTACCATACCCTGCCAGTCTGGACTGATGAATCTAAGGGATAAAACAGGTAGTTTCTAATCTGATTATTTATTTTCATCAACTTGGGCAGCCTCCCCATTCTTGTGTTCTTCCATTCTTTTTGGATAAGTATGTTGCTTGACTCTCTCTGCTCTTCCTACCCATTTTCTGGTCAGGAGGAAAATGCGGGTGTATTTACATAGGGCTGTCTTCAGAACTGAAATAGTCCAATATCACTTCTGAAATAACGTGTTTGATTTGCGTGCATTTAAAAAACTAACATAACTTGTATCTTCTGATTTTTGTTTCCCAAGTGCCTGGGGCACCAGTGCAGCTTGTGGTACAGGGGGGATGTGGGCAACTTCAGCCTCCTCCTTGACCTGAAAGGTCTCTGGGTGGGTTTTATTTGCCTCATTGAGGGAATGCACATGTAGCCCATCAGTACACATGCAGCCCCCCCCTGGGGTGAATAACCCTCCCCCCGTGGCTGTTTTGAGTCAGGGAAAACGGTTGGGGAATCAAAATCTCCTGGACATTCCAGGCCCCAGAAACATCAAATTTGCGGTTACCAGAGCTAGGGCGTTCTCGGTGGCGGCTCCTACCTGGTGGAATGAACTCCCAGAAGAGATCCGGGCCCTGCGGGACTTGATGCAGTTCTGCAGGGCCTGTAAAACGGAGCTCTTCCGCCAGGCTTCTGAGTAGGAGCTGCCGCCACCACCACCATCATTACGCCATCATCATTATGTCACCATCCTCACCATCTTTCTATCTACACCCCCTTCATTAGTCCCGCAAATTGACCATCTTCAGAGCAGGAACTATTGGGGGTGCGAGACGTGCCTGGCAGAGGTCAACGCTGTATGGACGTATATTGTTGCTGCTATATTTATTGTTATAACTGTGGTTTGTTGCTAATAATTTTAGACTCCCATCTTGAACTTTTATAGTTAAATAATTTTGGAGCACCGTAAAGTAAATTTTAGTGAAATTGTATTTATTGTATTTTATATTATTCTGTACTGCTTTAATGTTTTAACTTGGGCATTCGTGCCCCTTGTGAGCCGCCCTGAGCCTTCGAGGAGGGCGGGGTATAAATTTAAAGATAAATAAATAAATAAATAATTGGGTGGGGGAAAGCCTCAATCCTTTTGTCCTATGGGAACACCATGGGGCCCATGTGGGGAACAAGTTCCCTTACAGCTGTCATGGGACTGTCTGAGTCAAAGTCATGTTGGGGGATCCCAGACACAGCATGTTAAAAATCATAATGTGTAGCTTGGCCCTGTAGTTTCTCCTGTGATTGGAACCTGCATCAAACCACGGTTTCACTCCCTGGTTTGGAGGCAAGCTACAGCTTAGGCAAATTGTAGTTTGTCTGGTTTGGACATCGTGGCAAACTCTGCTTTAGTCAAGGAAAGGAAGGAGTCGGAGAATGCAAGGGGAGGAGCAAAACTGCCCGCCTGCTGTCTATTCCCAGTGCCCAACCCATGTGTTCCCAAGTATGTGGGTTTTTAAAGACCCATGTATACATGGATCTTTCACTCTTTAAACACTGGTATAACACTTTCAGCATGGGCTTGTTCTTCTCTGTTGCCTTGGTAGCATTCCATTTTGTGCAACTTACTTGGCTATTAAATTATCAGAAGCCGTGGTTGCTGTGCAGCCAAAAATATTTGGTTGCACCCACCAAAGAATGCTCCTGAGGCAATGGGTGTGGTTCTATGGACTCATCAGTGAAAGTGCTTTTTAGCTTCTGGGATTCTGGTTGGCTTGTTACAGTCAATGACAGAGGCAGATGCCCAAGGAAATCTCATGATTAGCTCTGGTGGAATTGTGTCTTCGGGGAGGAGTCCTCTGGGTGGCATAGTCATTGGTGAAATAAAAAGGGTGTGGAGCAAGATTGTGGTTTGGATGTTTGCTTGAGCCCATTTGACAGATTTGGAATGTGATCACTCATCATTGATCTGGATTGAAGACTCTTGAGTTCCAAAATACAAGCTGCCAATTGCAAAATTCCCTTTTTCTCCTTTGGCTGTACTAAATAAGTTAAGAACATCTCTGTTTCATCCTTATGCTTCATGAGTCTTTTAAACACAAAATGATCATGCTCAAGATTTACTCATAGATTTTAAGGATAAGCCTCTCCTGATTCAATGTTATATGCTTCCATATAATGCTCCATGTTAATAAGTCTGCCAGTTGCCCACCTTCTTTTAAGATACTTTGCTGTCCTTTGGGGCATGTGTCATGAAAACTCTCCAAATGAGAAATTTTTCCTCCAGGAAGGTGGATGCCATATGGAGACTTCATTGCCTTTGTGACATCAAAACCAACTCCCTTCCATTTTATAAATATTCCCTTAGTTGTTCTTGACACTACTCTAAAAGGATTTTGTCACTCAGTGGCTGGCTCGGTCACCTAGCCATAACTATGACTATGCATGGCACCAGCCTTATAGGGCAACAGTTGCAGTAAACCAAAATATATTTTAGTATTTTAATTCAGTATATTTCGGGTGTTTTTATCCCTCCAGAGCTGAGGTGGATTTATGCATGAGCTAAGTAAGCTACAGTTGAGGGCCTCAGATAATGAGGGACTTCGAAATAAAAATAATTTTTTTTTACTGATTTTCCAGTTTTGATAATGCTGTGGGGCCTCTTACACAGCTTTGGGTATCAGCGTGTCTTAGCCTGGTCGTGATCCTGAACCTCTTGGGGTGGAATGAATTTGACGTTTAAATAAATTAGTGACTAACAAAACCCCCACAGTGAATAGTTGATAAAATGCCCATTTCATAGGACTGGGCAAGGCTTTTCATGCCTTGACAAAAATAACTGGTGTTTTTCTTGTGTTCCAGAATTCTGTATTGTGTAAACGAGCTGATGGATGAAGATGAGAAGGACAGGGCAAAGAGGTATGGATTGAAGCTCACCCTAAGATAAAGGCAGCAAGTAGCCAACAATCTTTCCATTTGTAAAACTGTTAATAACTGTTAGTGCCTCTTCAGGTAACACTGGCCAGACAACCTTTGGTGTAAGTGAGAGCAAGTTGGGTAGCATGCAATGCATTCATTTGCATCATGCATGACAAGGGTGACTGGGGATGACACTATCGGACTATTGTTAGTCAAAATGTTGTGACCTTTTAGATACTTGGAATGAATGCCTGGTGTGTGTGGATTTACCTTTTATCTTTCTCTAGAACTGGGTGATGCATGACAGTGCTCTTATTTTCCATTGTGACAGACTATCTCAAAAGGGTTTTTGTTGTCTAAGAACATAAGAACTTAGACTCAAGAAGCTGCCTTATACTGAGCCAAGCCTCTGGACTTTCAAAGTTAATATTGTCTATTCTGAATGGTAGCAGCTCTCCAGGGTCTCAGATACAAGTCTCTCGCATCACCTACTACCTGGTTCTTTCAGCTGGATACTCTGGGTATTGACATGGGAGATGTCTTCATGCAAAGCGCATGATCTACCACTGAGCCACAGCCCCTCTTTATAGATGTTAGATCTAGAAGCAGTAGCCAAGAGAATACTGTGCTCTGAAGATCTTTTATCTGAGAACATAAGAAACCTGCTGGATTAAACCAAGGATCAATCTGGTCCAGTATCCTGTTTCCAACAAATACCAGCAGTGGAAGGTAGGGCTGGCAAGGATATGAGAAACAGCAACCATTGTCTATCCCTCCTTTTGTGGATTCTACCCCCCCCCCCAAGCTGTGATACCTGATCATGGTTGTTCCGTGGGACCAGCTCTTTCTCAGGAAGCCCATAAGCTGGTCTTGATGGCAAGAGCCCATCCTGTTATTTGTCAGCCAGCAACTGCTTTCGATATACTGCCTGTGGACAGGGAGGTCTTATTTAGTATTATGGCTAAATGATTGTAAAAGACTGACGATGTTTATATGCACCCTTTGTTGGTTTTAAAATAGTTTTGTGTTTCAATTGACTTAGGGCATCACGCAACAAATCAGAGAAGAAGAGAAGAGACCAGTTCAATGTCCTCATCAAGGAGCTATGCACCATGTTGCAAGGCCATGGCCATCCTCTCAAGATGGACAAGTCCACCATACTGCAGAGGACCATTGACTTCCTACAGAAACAAAAAGGTACTTTAATTGCAGGCACCCCTTACCACCACTTGTGTGTGCTTCTCTTCATGGGGAGCCTTGCAACATGGTGGTGGTGGAGGCTGTCTGCATCTTTAAAAATGGGGATGGTGAAAGGGATGCACATCCGTCCGACAAAAAATATTTTTTTAAATGTGGAAAACCTCTTCAAATGGCAAGATACTGGTGCAAGGGTAGGAATAACTATTACTTTTCAAATAAATACATTAAAAAAGCTACACAATTGCTCATAGGGTAGTATGATTTCACATTTATCCCTTGTATGTGTATAAAGTGCTGTCAGATTGCAGCCAATTTATGGCAACCCTGTACGATTTTCAAGGCAAGTGGAAGTGAGTAAGCAGAGGTGGTTTGCCATTGCCTTCCTTTGCAAAATCTTCCTTGATTGGTCTCCCATCCAAATACCAACCCTGCTTAGCTTTCAAGATCTGACAAAATTGGGTTATACTGTACCATTCCACATCCATCTGTTACAAGATATTTTAGAAGATTCCTTTAATAACAGTTGAAAATTTTGAAGGGAGTAGAAGATTGTCTCAGCCTTAGTAATGTTATATGCTACAACCTTACTTGGGCTGGAAACCATGATATCTGTTATATACACATTTGTGTGGTGCACGATAATCTATTCACACTACAGTGCTTTGTGTATTCCAACATACTTTCAAAATGTGCATCCTCATCCACATGTAACTTGTAGAATGTTAGCACTGCAGTTGCATATGACTGGTTCGTAGCTGTGGGCTTTATCTACATCCTCCTGCTTGTTTGGGTGATAATTACATCCCAAAGATTATCTCTAGTTACTGCTTAAGGACAGATTCTTAACTACCTATAGACAAAACTCAGCAGTTTTCTCCTGGAACAGCACCCAACGATCAGATATACTGTGGTTTTGTCTTTTGGAACCCATATCAATTCCTGATGTATTGAAGACTAGGGAGAAGGCTCGTTGTGGTAAGGAAGACAACGGGCCCTAGCAAGGTCATGGTCCCCTCGTCTCTTCCCAGAAGTAGTTGCCCTTTTCCCGGACCTGCTCAAGGCAGCGGCGGGGGAGAGCACCAGCTGTCTCCCCCCCCCCCCTGCCCAACGGCCCCCCGGGCCAGGCTCTGGCCTACCCCCCCACGGTCGAGATGTCGGCGGGCCAGGGCACCCTACCTCATTCGTGGCAGTCCCTGGGCCCACCCACTTGAGGCCCCGGCGGGCCAAGCTGGCTGGCCTGGGCCATTCTCTTGGTGTGGCTCTTCCTGCCCTCAGCAGCAGGGGCTGCATGAGGCTCATCGGCCTCACTGTCCCCCCCTCCCCATTTGAGGCCCTGGTGGGCCAGGGCGCCCAGCCTCGCCCTTTCCGCTGGCGTGGCTCCCTGCAGCCTCAGCTGCCTCGGCAGCACCAGACTCACCCGGCTCATCGCCCCACCACCACTGGAGGCCCTGGCGGGCGAAGCCGCCCCACTTCGTCCCTTCCCTCGGCGCGGCTGTCCTGACCCCCAGCGACAGCGGCAGAGTGACCATCCTCATCTCTTCTCCCTCCCCCTCGAGCGCCTGGCGGGCCAGGCCAGCTGGGCTCGTCCCTTCCCTCGCCGCAGCTCTTGCCACCCTCCAGCGTCAGCGCCAGAGTCACCGGAGCATGTGTCCTGTGTGCCTGAGGTGAAGTTGTTTTGTGAGTTGAATTCCGGCGCCTGCTGCCTCTGTGGGCGGGACGTAGCTAACCTAGCCAGTGGCCAGGGACCCGTTTGTGAGTGGCAGTCCAGGCGGCCAACTGATTTTGGTGTGAATCGAATCCTTCCACCCCATAGAAGAGATGCCACCCGAAATCAGCTTTATAATATGGAGAGAAGATGTTTATGTTAAACAAAGTCAAGGTACTTTTCATGCTCCCCACTTGTGCACTAAGAAGTTACAGGAGCAATGCTGCCTTTGAAGGAAAGAACATTGGCGATTTATGGGATTTTGTAGTAGCTTTATTTACAGATATAGAAGTAGTACACAGGCAGAGGTAAAGAAAGGCTCTAATATTGCAGCAGATCCACTATCACATCATACCCCTGAGAAAGGGAGAGAGATTCTGTACCCCCAAAGCTGTGTCTGTCTGGTTGAATACAGATATTGTGATAAACCAGAGTTTATAAGCTTGATCAAACTCCTTTAGTGTGACGTTTGAATGCAGGCTACTGAACAAACTGTGATTTATTGGTGGGTGCTGGGATTCTAAACCACAGATCACAGAGAGAGAAGATCAGCTTCATTTGGCTGTTTGTGCTTTCTAAGGATTCCAGCTCCCTCCATGTGCCCCATTCTCTCTAGTGATGACTGACCAAACTGTAATGTGCTTCGCAGTCTTCAACCAAGGGGAAATGTAAAAGGCAGTGCAATGGCAGGAGAAAAAGGCAATCTGTTTTGTTTCTGAGTACAGTTTGGGGGATGCATTGAAATGGCTGGACAGTGAGCGGATGAGGAAGGATGGCTAAAGATTGGTGTAAGAAAAAAAGAGAATAAGAGCTGTGATAAGAGTTAAAAATTCAGTAACTCCGCTAAGACAGTGAGGGGAGACTGATGATCCTCAGACAAGAATAAGGAAGAATAGGCTTGGCTTCTCCTAGGCGTCTCCTCCTTCACCATTCCTCTTCTGCTTATTGCTCCTAACTAATAATAAACAGGCTTCTTATGTTGTGAGGTTTTGTCAGCAACCTGGTAATGCAAGGGTGCACAATTGCATCTGGGAATTCTGTTTTGAGGCCAGAAAATTTTTGTTGCGGGGCAACAAGGGGGCTGTTTAGTACAGTGGAGCTGACAGTGCAGGAGGGCAGGCGGAGGGTGAGTGTGGGGTGCAAGGGAGGGAGAGGCGGAGATGGGGTGGAGGGTGGCTGGAACCCCCAGGATCAGCTTACTGTTCCTTTTGCACGGTGCTTGGCTGGGAACAGAAACTCCAGATCAAGGAGGACACCTGGTACAAAACTGCTGGAGATCTCTCTCTCTTGAGGGGGGGGGGGAGCGTATCACTCAGGGAGGGAGAGAGCGACAGATGTCTGCCTACTGCTGGCCGGCTAGCCAGACCTGCAGTGACATGAGTGGTTCCAACTCTGCCCGCGGGAGAGGTGCAAACAGAGGAGGTGGAGGCTGTGGCACTTTTGGCCCCTGACCTGACCTTGCTGAGCCGAGCAGGGCACTTTCCCCACCTGGAAAGGGCAACTGACCTGCCTGTGTGGCGCCGGGATGCCTGCATGGTGGTCACGGGGAGGGGGGGGAGCGGTGGGCTTCCCTTCTCTGAGGGAAACGTCCTGCCCCACAGTGGCACGAAAGAAGCGGGCCTCGTGAGGAGGAGGGCCTGTGCTGCGGTGGCATGGCTGCTGAGCAAGAAAGAGGCAGAGAGAGGGAAGAGCCACGGCACACAGCCAGTCAGGCCTGGATAAGGGCTTGGGGGGGGGGTGCCTCTAACCCTCCTCTCCACGGAGAATCGCCCCAGGCCTCCTTGCTGGGTTTTTCTCCCCCAGTCCTGGCTTTGGTGGCCTCTGGGTGGGCACATGCATGGCCACTTCACTGCCAATCTTGACCCCACTGGAGCAGGCAGCCCTCAGCCAATCCCAGGCACCAGACATCCCCCTTGGAAGCCCGCCTGCCTCCAGCCCCTCTGCTTCTCCCCTGTGCTTGCAAGGCTCTGGCTTGGCTCGCGCCTTGCTGGGAAATGGGGGGAGGGCTCTGGCTTGGCTCGCGCCTTGCTGGGAAATGGAGGGAGGGGGTCCCCCATGGCTACAGGACTCCCTGGAAAAGAGGAAGATAGCTTACATAACTGGGATTTATGAACAAACTATGTTCAGTTACGTACATTTGGTATCCTAACCTGGGTTCATTCAACAAACTGGTTTAAACAAATCACATTTTGTTTGAATGCACCATCTGTCTTCAAAACGCAAACCTGCTGTTTCTCTCGCTCTTTGTCTTTCTCATGCATACACACACATATACATATACACAGCCGCCTTCCCTCAGCTGGGAGTTGCCACCTTCTCCAGGTTTTCCTATGTAGTTAATGGAGCTATCAGGACAATCTCTTAACAGTTAGTACCTATTGAGAAACATTAACATTCTTGGACCACAGGGCCTGACTCCCAGCAGCAATTTAGGCCAAGCCAATTTCCAGCCATCAAACACACAACAGTGTTATCTGACTAGTTTTATTGTTGTCCCTTTCAGAAATCACAGCACAGACAGAAGCCTGTGAGATTAGACAAGACTGGAAGCCTTCGTTTCTTAGCAATGAGGAGTTCACCCAGTTGATGTTAGAGGTAAGATGAAATGAAAATCATACAGTCTAGGAGCAGAAGGATAACAACCAAAGATGTTCTGTGCTTTTTTATTTTGCCACCTGATCATTTGGCCCACTGCTTTCTGAAAGGTGTTCAAAAACCCCATCTTGTTTAATATACAATGTCATCTGCCAGCAGCTTTATACCTGTGACAGCCTAGCTTCTATTTCATTGTTCAGTCATGCTGATGAAAGTGGACAAAAATTAATGTCAGAGAGTTAGGCAGCTCAAAGCCTGGCTGAAGATGGAGGATAAGATTTGAAATGCCATTCCTTCTCCTCAGAACCTCACTGGATCTTGGCAATACAAAAATGGGGGACCTGCAATACTCGCCGGGGGGGGGGGGAGTATTCC